CAATACAATATCAAGCAGACAAGTGATGAGAATAAAGAAAATATCAGTAAGGGGATTATAGGTGGATCCAATACCAAATTCTCCAAACTGACATCACAAGATTATTTAGAGTAATCAACTGAGTTGATAATGTAAATTGTCCACCATAAAGAGTTAAAAGGCTGACATTTCAAGCATTAGCCCTTCATCAGAGCATTTGGAGGAATTGTGGGTTGTGTATAGGTTTATTTATTTCATAAATTAGCCAATATGGAAAACTGACTTGCATACTTTTAGTTTGTTTTTGCTGAGTTTTAGTCAGTTGTTTTTGAGTTTTCGTTCATGTAAATTCGTTACCCTTTTGATTGGAAATTTAAGAAGTTTTGGACTTTTTATTTCAGCCAAATATTGTGATTCATTAAACAAGTTAAATACATATTTTCTATGGAGTCTGGACTCTAGTCTCTTTTTTTGTAAATGGATTCCGTACACAGGTTAAAAAAAGCACTACTTAAGTCTAAACTTCAAACTAAACCTGAATATTTCTTCTTAATTCTCACCATATTTTGTAACACCAGGGTCACTCTAATGGAACTTTCATACTTGAACAAAACCAGGTCCCTCATCCCTTTTATATTCTCCTTTTTGGTAACATTGTTTAACACTGATGATACTACAGCTTTATGCACAGCTTCATTTTTGTTCTCCACCACTGAATTTACTTGAATTGATGGCCTGCACCTGTTACAGTACACCTCAAGCAAGAACGGATTTGCCTAAAAAAAAAAAATAAAAAAAAAAATTAACCAATTGACTCCACCAGACCTGTTAGGTATGAGCTCCATCTGTGGGTAATAGGAAAAAGGTTAATTCCTCAAAGGATATCATAAGAATTGAAAAATGCATGTAAACAACCTCATACATGCAAAAATAAAAAGTGTATGACTAAGGCAAATGTTGGTTTAATTTGCAACATTTATATACACTGTAGACACTGTCTATAAGAATGCAATCAGTGTGGATAACTGACTGTTTCTTATGTGTACATTGTTATAGTTGACATCATAAAGAAAACAAGTATTCACTGCATGCATATGAGTAATTGTGTCATATTTTTGCCAAGTATAGCTGGTCTCTACAACATGGCTGATTTTCATTTTGTATTTGATTTGTTAACAGTGTGGCATAAAGAAGCTTTAAAGATAAAGCAAAATACAATGTAATCCTTAACACACTCATTGTTAATTGCTGTAAGTAATAATAATTTACCTGATCTAACTCAAGAGCTTTGTTATAGCCCATGTTCTCAAGAGTCAGCCATAAGTCGTTAGGATCACCATCTGCATCTTGTGCTTCCATCATGTTCAGGTCCAGGAATCCTTTCAGAGTTATCTCATCATCCTCCATTTCAAAATTATCTGAAAACCATAACCCACAGCTGTAATCATGGATGGTAGAAAAGTTATAACTTTCCAAGCCTTTTTAAGGGAATTTTTTTTAATTTTCCATGACTTATGATCAAGGGGTTGCTCCCAGAATAAGGTGAACATGATCATGTAATAAGGCATTTTTCTTTTTGTTCTCAAAAGTACCAAATTCAATCATTTTCCAAGCCTTTTAATGACCCAAACTGAATTTCCATGACTTTCCTGGGCCAGAAAATGATATGTGAAGATTTACCTTTCATAATTTCCCATGCATCATCATCACAAAGGTCTCCACCAGATTTAAACTGGAACAAGTCGAATTCTTCTCTACTTAAAGATCCATTCCCATCAAGGTCACAACTGTCAAAGATTTCAGACAGTGCTTCTCTGTAAAAATGTAAAACAGAATCAAAAAAGTTCACACACCATTCTGTAATCAAATTTCTCTTCTATCTTCTAAGGGCACAAACAAGTTTAAAGCTTGGCTGAACAGTTACCTTCTTTTGCACTGAATTAACTTTCTTCTGCATTGTGTTACTCGAAAAAATGCATTTCTCTTAGCCAATCACAATGATGAAATTGATTCATGTATATGAGTATTGAAAATACAAATTTGGATTAAAAAAGAAAAACATTAAAACTTATTTACTCAAATATCTTGCTAAGCTGGAGGTTTTCTCCATGGCCTGTGGTAAGTTTCACTTGTTTGGCAGGTTCTGCTTTTCTAATGGAGAGTCGACAACCAGTAGTGAAAGTTATCAAACTGTATGTCCCTCCTTCCAGCTCACAGCGAAAACAAAATTTCTACAAAAAAAGCAAAATAATATTATAGTTGAACCTGTATTTAGCAACACCATTAAGTGGTCACCCTGTATTGAGCAGTCAATGGTCAAAGAATTCTGGATTGGTGAAAGCTGCTAAGGGGGGGGCAAAATGACATTTGTTACAGATCCCAGTAAGAGGGCTGGATCTGAAATGCTTAGAGAACTTGTTTCCAATTGCCTTACTAAAATTAAACGAACAGTTCACTGATTAAACTATAATTATTTTTCTTAGCACTGTTAGGACAGAATGCATTTTTTAATCCCATTTGATTCCTATTCTGTGGAACCTGTATTTAGTGTAATCAGTCATTTCGCCCACCGTCTGTTTGCCAATGTCTAAAGTTGGTTCGCCTACATCCAATACGTACATTTGCCTACAATTAATACATAAAAGCTTTAAAAACGGAATTGTTTAAAAGTCCATGTTGAACCTTGCAGAAAAACTGAGTATTAAGATGAAATAAAACACCGTTTACAGTCTTTGTGTTTACTTGTGACTTGAGTGGCCTATACTATAGGAGGTGGGACATAATAAATTAATGTTTTGACTGTTAGTTCGTGCAATTTCATGCAATCTGCAAACTTAGCTAATTATATAGATGAAAAATATATATATATAACAGTTAAGGCATTATTTGTGTAGACTTGTGATTTGAGCAGCCTATACTAAAGAAGGTCAGACTTTTCATTAACATATCATTCAAAAAGACAAGGTACTTAAGAAATTAGCTTGTTCCCATTTTACTTCCCAGTTCAATGTTTACGGTATTTTGATGTTGTGATTTGTTCTATCATGAACTTTATAAATTAGTGTTTTGTTAGTTTGTGTGCTTTCACACGATCTGCAAATTTAGCTGGATGAAAAAAATATGAGGTGAGACTTTCACTAACATATTATTCAAAAGGACATGGTAGTTCATTTAACAGAGGATTGTAATTGAAAAATCAGCATGACAATCA